AGTAAAATTTCCTCCAATATCAAGTCTCTCCAAGCTGTCCGCTTCATTTATAGACGAGGTTTGAGCCTCCAAAAACTTAATGGCTTCGCTGCCTATGATCACCAGTGAGAGGAACTTTGCGAAATGTATACCAATTACTAGCGCCATCATGACTATCATCATTATCATTACTACCACTAGCGACTCTTCTCGTTCATTTTTTTAGTTCTTCTTGGCTATTCAATCTTCAGCATTTCAATGTAAAAATTTTAGCCATTTTTAACAGTTTCTTCTCAAAATAGTGTATGAATCAATCATGAATGACTAAACAGGGAACACGAGCTGCATTTCTAATGGTTACCACATCAGACAGTAGGAAAATTTACCAAACAATAGTAATCGTTATTGGAATTGTAGAGTAATACATTTGTTTTTAAGATAAATTACGATGGCGACCGTATTGGAAATATTGAGCAATGAAATTATGATGCAATTTTTTGAGTATTTGGACGCGTATCATTTATTCAAAGCATTTTTCAATCTGAATTCCCGTTTCAATCAATTATTGACCGATCATCGATTATATTTGAAACATAATTCGAAACATGTACGTAATAATAATATTATCAATGCTGAAATGTGGCATATAATGGTGAACTATCTTACTGCTATTACATTGATTACTGATAAACATATTCGGATGTTCATGTCAATGTTCAACGAAAGTAATTTTATGTGTCTTCAATCATTGACACTTTATCGAGTTCGTATTAGTAAAGGCAAGAGATTTTAAAATATTAAAATGAATTCGTTTAATAATTTTTTCTTCTCTTATAGAAAAATCATCAGTTGTTAAATATATTTCAAATTTAAAATCATTGAAAAATTTATGCGTTCAAGCATTAGGTGAGATTCATGATCTCATACTAATGGTTATTTGTTCGAACGGATTACCTGAATTAAAATCATTTGAATGTACAAATCCTGAGTATGAAACTAATGTTATGTTTGCTTGGCCTAGACAAACAAACATTGAAAGTTTAACAGTCGAATGTATTTTATATAGCTTAAGCTATCTTCTTTTGCAAACACCAAAATTAAAATATTTGAATATAAAGTTAACCAACTTTGGACCAGAAGAATCGACAATAACTGCTCTACCAATACCAATGATGATAAATCTTATTCATCTAAAAATGGAAACTCATTTTATATCATATAATCATTTATTTGATCTAATGAAATCTATGCCACATTTAGAAAGTGTCGAATTATCTGGTTCCTGTATGGGCAAAGATCTCGATAGTGGTCATCGATTAAAAGAATTATTTGGACATTTACAGACAGTCGAATTGGAAAATCTTGAATGTTTAACATCAGCTAAATCAGTAAATACAATATTAGCGACATTCAATGATGATATTGATGGATTTTGGTCGGATGTAATATGCTCAATTAAATATGATAGAGCTTATTTATCAGCATTTGGTCATGCAAGATAAAAATTAAAATTGGAAGAATTTAGTCAAACTTAGCAATAAAGAGTAGTTCAAAAGTTATTTTGATACGTTGCTATTTGATGTGATTGTTATGTATTCTTGTTTTTATTTTATTGATTTCGTCTTTTTGATAAAGTTGAACAGAAAGTAAAAATTGTACTATCAATAATCTAAACACTAAGTCATAACTTGTGCTAGAATTAGATTTTACAATACGAATTTCTTGATAGATTGTTCAACAAGTAATATTCATCGATGGTCGATTCATTTGGCTCCAGACTGATGAAAGAGTGACACAGCTATAGTTGCATGTAAATATTGACCGGAATTCACCTATGAGTGAATAGAAAGAAGATTCATGTCCGCATCTATCCTCATACACATGACCATGTGCGACCAAAGGAAATATTTTTAGACATGTCTATATCAATTCAGAGAATATTTTGCTGACTGACATAGAAATTTAGAAATAAAATTAAGTTCATGTTTGAAGTGAGTCTTAGCTTTGCGTTTTATATCTTCAGATACCTTTATTTATAGGAAGTTTCAATTTTTTATTTTCAGTACTTTCTTTATCATTCTCATTAGATGGAGTGAATCTTAGTGATGATGAGATTGTGTATAAATCGATGGTAATGTTACCGTGAAGATCATTCATTACTAGTAAAAGAATATTACAATCGACAATCGAGGTTAATGAAAAAAAACTCAATATTGCTCAGAATTATTTAACAAAAATCTAGAAATTATGATTGTTTTTCTTAATTAAAGCCTTAATTGTATTAAAATAAATTAATTGCGATCAACAGAACTAATTTTTATTGTTTTTAATTAATCACTTAGACACAATTTAAAAAAATAGACATTGAAAATCCAATCTGGGCAATTTTAAAACATTATCACTAATCATAATTTTCATCAATTCTAATCATTTGTCAAATGAAAAGTTTGACGAATTCATCTTAGATTTTTCCAATCTTTTAAAAGCAATCTTGAACTTTTCAATGATGAAGAAAACAAAATATGCTTTTATTGTATTGTGAATGAATACGAGACTTTCTGACAATTTTTTTTAAATTCAATAATAATAAAGGTTAACTTAGAATTGAAAATATGAATCATATGAGACTAATGTAAGAGATAATTGTCGGTTATTTGTTTATATTCTTCCTAGTCTATCCTTATTTTCATTCTTTTCTTCCTCACAAGTTTTTATTAATTTGTGTTAAACATGCAATGTAGTGTTCTACTAGAGTTAACAAGGAGCAAAGTACATGATTGTATAACATTAAGAAAACATAAATGAAAAGGAAAGATTAGAATACAGCACAGATAAATAGTTACACATAAAATTAGAAACAAATATAATCCAGTATTAGATATAGTTCACAGTTTTCGTTTCATATATATATGTTGTGGTCAAAATTAAAATTCAGTCAAATTTTAAATTTGCCTAGTCAAAATTGAAATTTTAATTTCGTCTAGGCAAAATTAAAATTCTAATTTTGTCCAATATGATCTCAGTCAAAATTAAAATTTGAATTTTGACCAGACAAAATTATAATGTGTTTCTCATGAATAGGAAGTCTTAAAGAAAGAAAAACAATTAAGATAGAACAAATCTCTTTTATTTTACAATTAGTGGCGTAACAAAGATTTTGTATATGTAAACGCTGAGTCTTAGCAATAAAGCATTGGATTCAGATGAAGCTTCTGGAGAATGACATTGGACCCAAATGATCATTTTTTATCAAAAAGTTTTCCCGATCAAAGTTTGCGGAAAAAAGTTTTCTCCTATTCCTCATCAACATTTTTTTCTTCTCAAAACGCTATAGCGGGATTTATTCTTTCAGAATGTATTCTCTCTATGGCTTTTATTAATTATGATAATATCTCAGCACACCCACACTCAAACTTGTGCCCTCATCCACACTCAGACCTTCCCATGCATCCTACACCCTCACTCTCACCTTGTATGTATTAAGGAATAGCGTGGGATTTATCCCAAAATGCTTAACGATTTATTGAAAAGTCCGAATAATCTCCAAAATAAGTCCCGGTAGCTGCTGGAAGATTTCGATAATACTTTAAAAATTTTGAAAAATTCGTGAATTGTCCCAATGTTTTCGACCGTGCGATTCCCCTAGCTACATCGAATTTGATCTAAAAATACGCATCCTCTCAGGAATTATAACGTTTTGAATTTTTGCTACATATTGCAGCTGAGATCCAACATATACAAAAATCCTGCTTACACCACTATTTGTTATCCTTGGTTATCAAAGTTTTATCGTTTTATGTACATTAGAAATATTATAATTTTGTCTGGTCAAAATTCAAATTTTAATTTTGACTGAGATCATATTGGACAAAATTAGAATTTTAATTTTGCCTAGACGAAATTCAAATTTCAATTTTGACTAGGCAAATTTAAAATTTGACTGAATTTTAATTTTGACGACAACATATATATAGAAAGAATACCACCTTAATACAACAACGTTCTGAAGAAGGCCAAATCTGGCCGAAACGTCAACAAACAAAATCAATTAAATATAAATATAATTAAATTATAAAAATATTTTATTTTATTTATCTATTTTAATCTATGACATCTTACCATTTATTATTATTTTTACCTGTAACACCTTATCAGTTATTATTGTATTATTATTATTATTTTTATAATTTTTATAATCTTTATCTCATTTCGTTATATTTTACTATAACTGAATATAATTTATATTTAATTGAATAAATTTATGATACAGGAAGAGAACTAGATAAACTTAAAATCTGATCATTATCAAAACCTTTCCACTTGAGAAGATATTCGGCATATCTATTTCGAATTCGTCGAAAAATGGATCAAAGACGAAATCTCCTAAAAATAAATTATTAATGATTTTGGAAGATAACAGTCAATTAGACTACGTCTTCATTTATTGTATAAAGTTCTAATTTGAACAGACAAGAAAAATAAATAAATTATTTTCCAATAGATTGAACTGATTCGCTTTTTTCTACTCATACAAGTCGAATACTAACTAGAAGAATTACGAAAAACCTCGTCGTTGAAAAAGCAATATCTCAAAATTAGAAAGATTATTCGGTTCATGAGGTTGAAGTTATTATATTTTCGAGAGAAATACTAGTAAGTAGATTCGATCTATTAATTTATTGTTTCTTCTGATGAGGAAATTTTCATAAAAACTGAAAAGTTGCAAATTTGCATAACATTTCTTAGAAAAAAGTTCGAAATCTTATTTGCTTGACATACATCTATTACGAACTTAGAGCACTACTACCATTGAGGAAAGCTTGACAGTCAGATTTAGCTGAATTATTCAGCTGACAAACATGATCGTACTCTTCCAATTTAAATAAGTGCGAATGAAACATCATGTTGAATATGTTCTCATCCAAAGTGAAAGTCCGATGCATACAAAATAAACAACAACTGTGTTTGTGTTTCATCTCATTTTGATCGAGCTTCATATGAGCACAAAAAAAAATACCAGTTGTACATCAACTTAACATATCATTCACTTTTCTGGTCGATGGTTTCGATTTTCAGATACTGCAGAGACCTGCTGGTAATGGTCAGAAAATCATCTGACCGGAGCAGGCCTTCAAACTATACTCGAAACGTATGACAAAAACAGGCGACCATCTCCGAACACGTCTTCTAGATCCAGGAATTGTTAAAAACTAAGCTGAGTATGCACCGGATCTTGTCAGTTACTGCCATAAATCTTTGACATGGGTCTAGGTAGATAAATGCAATTGAGATTCTCATTTGTATTTATTTGAAGTTTAATAAAGTTTCAAAGTGATAAGATCGAAAATTGATAACGATTTCGGCCAACACTTTGAAGTTATCTGCAAAAGAAAACATTTTTACTTTCCTCACACTTACCTTCATCCATGGTTGCTCAAATATAAAGTTTGGCGCGAAGTGTTGCAAACGATACTGTATATTTACTTCGTCTCTCCGTTTCGATTTATCAAATTAACCTTTTAAACCATTCTGATAATCGTTCGCAATAAAATTGTTATGTCGTCGAAGTGACAGATAACGATGTTGTTAAACAGAAAATTTTTTCAACATTTGGTCGAAAGTAGACCATGTTTTGGTTCAATGTACAGACTTGATCCTAGATAATTGCTTAAAATAATGTCAAATGACGACAATCTTTTTGATTGTAGAAGATAGAACCATTATTAATATTCATCTTCGTTCATGCCATCTTCATATGTATAATAAACGATTTATCCTTTGTATTTTCGACCTTGTCGAAGACCAAGTTTATTATCGAGCAGTGTGGTAACTATACATTGAATGGAATTGCTCGATAACATTTTCAGACTTTTTTAGCAGTCGATGCACACATATGTGTTTATTATTGAATAAATCTTAGACAAGGAAAACTGAGTGTGCATTCAACAATTACAATGAATTTTGTTTTCTTCTATGAACTAATCATTCCATTCACTGAAATATCGAAAAGTTAGAGTAATTTCATTTTTATTTTGTTCTCAGAATTTTAAAACCAAATTCAATATCTTCTCATAGAAATAAAATTTTCACAGATATTCGATAGAAGATACGAAAAAAAGCTTCATTGTTCAATGAAAAGATTCATTAACTTACTGAAGCCTATCAATGAATTTCACACGATAATGCCAAATGTCTCCTGTTAAATGAGATTGTCTTTTAAGTCACAAGTCGATGGCATGAACAATAGAAGTATAAGCAATTACCTTGAGTTTTTTTCTTTTTGACGTCACCAAAATTTGACATTGCTGGACGTTGATTGACGATTGCTATAAGAGTAGCTTTTGATACAGTTGTTATTGACGAAATCTAATAAAATGTAGCACAAATAAAAATATACTCAAAAGTTCATTCGTTTGTTATCTTCATCTCAGAAGTACTTAGAACTTTTCGGAAAAGAAAATGCTCGCAAGTTAATGGTAACGAGAGTTTTACTCGATAAACA